CATCAGAGTAAATTAAGCAGCAGTGGAGTATCAAGGCGGGTTTTTTCAAAAACAGAGAAGCCACAGCGAGGAGCAGCTGGGAGTAGCGTTGGCTGTAGCATCTGTGGAGCAATCTGTATGGGTCAGGGATCTGCCCCCTTTTTAAAGGGGCAGGGGGCACTACTCTCAGATTGAACTCGGAAGTAGGGCCTTATGTGCTGTGGGTTACACAGAGGTAAATAGAGGTAAAACCCACAATTTTAAATGTTCTCTTTGTATCATGAAACAAAGCGAAATAATAGATCCAAGGGAAGCCAAATAAATGCATTGTATTTACATGTGCCCTGGAACTAGAAGAGGAACTGACACTGAGCATTTAATATATTAACCTCACTCTACAAGTTGTACATCTAGGCTGTATTTACTCTGTGTGACTCATATCATGTATTTTATTTAGGGCAGAAACAATTCATCGGATTAATCAATTATTGTGTCAACATGTCAACAAATTTAGTAATCAGTTAATCGTTAACTGGAGTATAGAGACTCTAAAACATGTCTTTAGCTCACAGACCGACCCACTTCAAGCAGGAATTATACTAATATTGAAAAAAAAAATAAAAATTTTGCATTTTAGATAAAACATGTTTTTGTCTGTCAATATTCTCCATCCAGAACTCCTCTACTGGTGCAACAATGCTGTATTGTAAATTATAAACATGTTATTCACATGTAATTGTTGGTAGGGACAAGTAGGTCGGTCCAAAATTTTAATAGGGACATGTCCCTATGGTCCCTATACAAACCTACGCCCATGCATGTAGCTTTGCTTTTGACAGATCTCCATTTTAGCGTTTTCCAGTTCTGCAACTGTTAAAGAAAAACTCCGGTCACATTCAGAATACAAACTTTTTATGCATAACCCTGACCCAACTAATTACCTATTAATTATTGGGTAAGATTGTAAGTGTGAACTCTATTTTTGCAGAAAAAGGGACCAATAAATCTGATTAAGCTTAGACTGACCGTCTAAAAAAACAAACAAATGGACATGTGTTTTCTCTTACATTTCTGGTTAAAAAACAGAAGTAATGCTGAATTGTGTATCTATCTGACCAAT